CTGTTCCTGAATTACTTGTCATTGGGTCTGACACAGAAAGATCTGGCCCACAGATTTAAGGGCCACCAATCCACCGTGAGCCGAATCATAACCACCTGGGTCAACTTCCTGTATATACTGCTTGGAGCTATTGGAATTTGGCTTGATGAGGAGACCATCAAGCAGTACATGCCAGAGGTATTTTCCACCTATGCTGACACCCAAGTCATCTTAGACTGCACAGAGTTGCGTTGTCAGACACCAGACTCCCTTCTGCTCCAGAGTGAGGTCTTCTCAAGTTATAAGTCTCACAGTACCTTTAAGGGGCTGATAGGGATGGCTCCTCATGGTCCAGTGACTTTTATCTCTCCACTCTATGAAGGCAGCATCAGTGACAGGGAGATTTTGAAGCGGTCAGGCCTGGTAAATCTCCTCAATCCAAAAATGGCAATTATGGTGGACAAGGGTTTTCTAGTGGAGGATCTTGTGCCATGCAAAGTCCACATACCTGCCTTCAAAAAGAAGAATCTGCAGCTGTCGGGAGCAGAGGTGAGGAAGACCCAGTCCATCGCAAGGCTCAGGGTCCATGTTGAGCGTGTAATTCGAAGGGTGAAGGAGCACAAACTGTTAGGCACAGTGATCCCCATGTCACTAACTGGCTGCATTGATCAGCTTTTTGCCGTTGCCTGTCTATTGACAAACTACCAGAACGGACCGATTGTTAAAGCATGGGCCAAAAAGGACTGCCACACCATGACTTATGAATGATTTGTGAAAAATAAATGTATGCATGTTTTAGGGTGTAGTTGTATCCAGTGGTGCGTGAAGTGCTTAATTCTGTTATTTTATGAAGTATATGTACAGGTTCAATATTATTCCTATGAAAGAAAAGTTGCATGGTAAAAAATGTATGTTAAAGTACCAAATTGAGAGCTAAAGATAACATTTGATGTATTGATGTATTGGTTTGATTATCTGTTCTTGTTTTACTTAATGTTTACTATTCATGTGTTTTTGCTCCATTGCATGTCATTATATTTTTTATGAACTCCATTAACAAAAAACAGTATTTTATAAATATTTTATAAACTATAATTTTGCATTTTTACAGTTGCCACAGTAAGCTGCTACAAATGAAGCTTTAACATGTATCCACTAAAACATTTATCTAACATTAAGCAAAAACAAGTGCTAATAGTGAACAGTGAATAATGAACAAAAGGAGTTGATGTCTAAGCCACTCTACGAGGAGATATAACTAAGATTTATCCAGAAATTTGGGGAGGTAAGTATGGAAAAAAAATACATCACATCTCTGTTTTAGAGGGACCAACACAGCCTCATCTCTACGGATGCGCTGGATGAAAATGTCATCATTGGCGCATATGACAAAGTCACACCATTCCATTCCAGTGACCAGTAGCTGCCCCTGGACCTGCCAGTAGTATGTGTGACTCTCCTTAAGCTTGTGTTGGCCTTTTACTACTGTGAGGTACCCACAATCCACATAGCTTTGAACATTCGGACACTTCATTTCCACCAGGCCGAATGTTGGTCTCTCCAGTGGATCGTAGACCATCCCATCTGGTGTTGCTCCAAGCCATGGTGCATCTGGATGGATAACAAGGCCGCATTGTGTGAGGTTCAAATTTTTCAGTACGGCATAGTCCTTAAGAGCCACTGCCTCCATCTCAAGACCTCTTTTCATATGTGCCGTTTGTAGCTGCCCCCTTAGGATCCTTTCTGCCAAATTTTCTGCAGACGTTTCTCCTCTCACGTGGCAGACTTCTCTAAATCGTGAGGCAGTCACCCTCTCTTTTCTGAGGTGATGCCACTCAGGTGCAGCACTCTGTTTTCTGGTCATGGCTTCAATCAGACGAGACTGGGTTAAAGTCACACAGAGTGATGTGAGATGAGCCTGTTGCTGCCTGGTGGGAACAAAACTACAGCTGGTTTGTGCTATGTGGTAGTCGTCCAGTGGTAGGGATGGAAACGATGGTGCACCCTGATGTGATGTCACACCGTGAGAAGATGGTGGAGGATGGTGATAGGACAGGATGCTACCAGCCTGAACTTTACCAAATGCTGACTGCACAAGTGGTTTATCTGCATTGATGTTCATCTGACAAATTAAGGGAAGAACATCTGGCTCAAATAAATCATAATGGACAGTGGGGTTTAGGGTTGCTGGGACAGGCAGGTCCCCTTTGAAGGCTTTATAGAGTGTAGACCTACATGAAAATAAAGATTCTTTGTTAAAAACATGTATAGGTCATACTTAGAACATTTATAGGGCATACTTTGTATTACACTCACAAAAGTGTAGCACTCCTACCCTTTTTTGTAAAATGAGTCAGCATACCTTATTCCACTTGTTGCAGTGGTCCCTGGTCTGGGCTTAACAACAACCATCGCACCCACTGGTCCAGGCTTCACTCCCTGAAATAGGGAAAAAACAATTATAACATGCACCAAAGCTAAATATACACCACAATCAAAAAACAAACCATTGTTCGAGGTT